GCAGGTTCACCGTCCCTGGTAGGCTTGCTGTCCCCAGCAGGCTCGCTATGCCCAGCAGGTTCACCGTCCCTGGTAGGCTCGCTGTCCCCAGCAGGCTCGCTGTGCCCAGGCTTGCTGCTCAGCTTGGGGGTGCCATCCCCAGAGGCCTCGGTGCTATCACTGCTGTCCCATGTAGGCTCCAGCACTGGGGAGGGCTCTGCATTAGGTGGCAGGACTGGGTCTTGGCTGCTGCTGGCCGGGTCTGCAAGCTCCTGCAGAGCTGAGTCCAGCAAGTGCACCGCTAGGACAAAAGCAGGAAGAGCACCGTCAGTTCATCCTGGCTGCCACAGCGCCACCACCGCCTGCTCCAGCACACACTGCCTTGGCCCTGGGGCAGTCCCAGTCACAAGAAACTCAGTAAGTTCTACCGCATCTTTCCTGCACAAACCAGACTTAGACCTCTTATCTTTTGAGTAGTGGGTATTAAACCCAGGACCTTTGCCCTAAGCTACATCCCCAGGCCCCCTTCTTTTTTTTTTTTTTTTTTTTTACCTCATTGAGAACTTGCCCAGGCTGGGCTTAAACCTGTGATCCTCCTGTGTCAGCCTCCCAGTATGCAGGTATTACTGATGTGCACCACCACATCTGGCTAGAGTCCTCTTAATGACTGGTAAAAAAAGGGAGATGCAGAGAAGCAATTTTCCATACTTAGTTAAAAGTTTGGTTTCTTGGATATTATCCTATATGATAATGAAACTGAGAAATAACTTTTCTCTTTTTTTTGAGGGGGTGGGGCGGGACCAGGGGTTGAACTCAGGCCCTTGCACTTGCCAGACAAGCAGTCATTCTACTGAGCCATCTCCCCGGCCCCTATCAAATTGAGAAATAATGAGGTCACATAGGTAGAGCTGATCCAAGTATAGCCCAGGAAGTCATGTTCAGGATGCTTCCTAGGATCTAGAGAGCAGAAAGGCTCTATGGTATCTGCTCTCTGAACTGGAGCATAAACTTAGGATCACTAATTCAAGAAACACATACTGGGAAAAAAAAAAAAAAAAAAAACACATAGTGGGCCAGGTGTAGTGGTACAGGCCACGATTCCAGCACTCCAGGGGCCTGGGGAGGAGGATCTTGAGGACAAAGAACGCAAAGCCAGCCTGGGCAACACAAGCGTTCAAGGCAAACCTGAGCAACACTGTCTTGGGAAAAAAAATAAAAAAGACTGAGCGCTTGCTGCATGCCCAACCCATGCTGGGTGTATGCCCAAGGCAAGTTAGCACATTGAACAATTTACACAAATTTCCAAAGCTGGTACATGACGCTTATTTGTCTATGATATAAATGGAAACTTTACAGACACAGAAGGCCTGCACATACATAAGCCTAAGGAAAAATGGTTTGTGTGTTTCCTAACAGAAAAGATTTGTCCTCAGAAATTGGGATGAGCATATTTTAAGGAAAAGCTGTTAGATTTAGAATTTCATAGTAACACTACACTTCCCACTCAGCAAAACCGTAGACCAGAACTATTTATCTTGTGTGAAATAACTGTCTTGAATTTGAATGCAGGCTCCTAGAGAATGCAATTATGAAAAATCCTGATGTAAGCTGGCCATAACAGTGCACATCTGTGATGCCAGCACTCTGGGAGGCTGAGGCAGGATGATCACAAGTTTGAGCCCAGCCTGGACCACTTAGCAACACCTTGTCTCAAAATTTGAAGAAAAAAAAAAAATTAAAAACACGAGTTCAATCCTCAGTACCATTTAAAAAATAGAATACTAACAAATCCTATAAACATTAATGATGTATCATCTCTTGCCCCCCAAAACTCTTGACACCTATATGAACCTTATACTTTTAGAATTAAGTCAAACCTGCTGGCTGAATTAAACTGAAACCACACTCGGCCCTTCAGTCACACCAGAAGGAGCGCTCCCATACTGGGGCAGCCCTTCCACTAAGAGAGGCGCACTTGCTGAAGCTACTCACAAACGATCTTCTGGGGCACCAGCCCATTCTCCATCTGGAGCCTGTCCTCCATGAACGCCGCCCCCAGCCTGCTGAAATCCTCCACACTCGCTTCTGCAATGAGCTGGTAGGGGTCCCCTGGCCGGCAAGCCAATGGCAGGCAGCAATCAGACCACCTGACAAGCTGAGAAAAAGGAGGAAGAAGACAAAAGTTGACTTTTTTTTTTTTTTTTTTTTTAATGTATTTGGTACAGGGTCTCACTTAGAAACTTGGACTTGTACTGGTCCTCTTGTTTTCAGTCTCTCCTGTGCTAGGATTACAGGTGTGTGCCACCATGCCTGGACTCTCGAAGGCCAGCTCAGTGCACCCAGGGTGTGGCCGGTGCAGCCTGTGGTACCAGGGATGGAACCCCAGTTCCTGTGCTTGCCTAAGCAGGTGCTTAGTCTGCTGAGCTATCTCACCAACCCAAAGTTGACAGTTTTGAAACTGCAAAATGATCACTTTATTTTTCATCACCAATAATAATGTAAACAGTCAGACACAACAAATTACTGGATATTGCATTTTACCAATATCTGTTTTGTCTCCAATGTTCTTATTTACAACTGACAATAGTGCTTCTGAGTCACTCAATACAACTCTCTCAATGAAAAGTAGCTGTAGTCTCAGCTGCTAGAGGGAACCACCAGGGGCCTTCTGTGATAGGGACCAGGAGGGCAGGACAAAACTTAAATTCCCATGACTTTTGTTAGGCTTATCTGGCCATTCCATAAAGCCTTATTGCACTAGCGGGCAGGGCTTCAAGGAGGTGACTGGATGATAGGAATTAGGGCTGATGTTCTGTAAGGCGGAGGCTGATGACAGGGCTGTGGCCTAAGAGTGTCACAGGCTTCTCCAGCTCCTTCCTCTCTCTGCTTCCTGGGTACCAGCTCTCTTCTACCCAAGTCCTCCCACCATGAGACCCTGCCAACCAGAGACTGAGCCCCCTACAACATGAATCCAAATAAACCTCTTCTCCTTTCAGCTATGGGTGTCAGGTATTGGGACTCCATGATGAGAATATGACTAAGACAACCTCATATGTAATCTACTGGGACTGGGGTTGCAGCTCTAGGTAGAAAGCATGCTTCACAGATGGGAGGCACTCCATTTGGTCCTCAGGGGGCCACATGAAATCACAGGTGGCCTGCAAAGTACAGGCCAAGTAGAACCAAAGCAGATCTCCTGGAGGCACCTCAGACCCGAGGATTCCTGACACAGCTCTGACCTTAGGAAACTGGAAGGCCCAAAGGCCAGCCCATGACCCCAAAGATCCAACCATGAAAATGCTGGGTGGTGTCAACAGTACCAGACAGTTCACAGTGCCATCTCAAGGGGGACAGAGAAAGAGCAGACCAAACACAGGCCTGTGCAAAAGCCTTCAACACTGTGAGAATAAGACTCTATGACTGCTCATAAGGTACTCAAAGCAAAGGGAGCCAGCAGGTAGAAGGACCTGCCTCAGACTCTAAAATCACAGATGCCTACGTCTGGAGAAGTCTGTGGTCTCAGCTTCCTCATTGGGAACTTACAAACTGTAACAACATTAATGCCCATCATGGTACAGATTTATAGATGGAAATGCCCACCTATAGAAAGTGTGTGTGACACTGAGAGTGGTGGCACACTCCTGGAATCCCAGCACTTGGGAGGTGAAGGCAAGAAAATTGTTGCAGGTTCAAGATCAGCCTGGGCTACAAAGTGAGCTCAAGGTCAGCCTAAGTTGCATACTGAGACACTGTCTCAAAAAGACAGACAGACAGACAGACAGACAGACAGACAGAGTGTGATGCCTCCTGTAGAAAGCTTGAGACAGAATAAGGGGCTCCATGAGTGAGAATTCTATTACTTATTATGCACCTACCTTTATAAACAACAGTGAAGCCAGGTATGGTGCCACATCTGTAATCCCAGCACCCAGAAAACTGAGGCAGGAGGATTGCCAAGAGCTCAAGGCCAGCTTGGACTACATAGCGGGACTGTCTTGAAAAACCGAAAAACTTCTCTACTATTGGTGAAGCTGTAAATTGGTACAATCAACATGGAAATCAGTGTGCAGACTCCTCAGAAAACTTGTAATAGAGGGTACATTTGACCCAGCCATTCCCCTTCTAGGCATCTACCTAAAAGAGTTGAAAGTTTCATGCCACAGTGATAGACACGCATCCACTTTGATAGCAGCACAATTTGTAATAACTACATCTTGGAAACAGCCCAGTGATCCACCAATGGATGAATGGATTAAAAAACGTTATTTTTATATGCAGTGGACTACTACTCTACCATAGAGAAGAATAAGCCTGAGCCATTTCTAGGAAAATGGATGCACCTTGAGACTGTACTCTTAAGTGAAATAAACTGGGCACACATGTGTAAATATTGAATTGTTTCTCTGCTGTGAGAAACCAAAATAAGGTAAATGAGGACCAAAGTGGAGGATTGATACTGGCAAGTAAAAGAAAATGTTCAAACAGAGAAGGGAACAAGGGAGTAGGGAAGGAAAAAGGGGGAAAGAAAGGGAAGGATTAAGAAGAAAAATAACATACACCATGACCAGGTAGGATTCATCCCAGGGATGCAAGGATGGTTCAATATTCAAAAATCTAT